AAGCTTTTAAGACTTTTATTAAACTATGGAATTTATTTATTTATCATTTTTATGCTAATTATTTAATGCGAAAATTTGTTGATGTCGGCAAAAAACCGTTAACTCCTGTCTATGGTTTAATAACTTTTCATTATTTAGAAACTTAATGATGTGTAGTTTTTCGTGTAGGCATAAAGGGCATGGGTCATCCCAGGTTTTACAAGTTCTTGTTCTATTTATTATTTTCCATTTTACTTTTGGTGTTTTATTCGTTTCTTTTAGATGCCAGAAATATTGGGATAGAGATGTCTGATTTCTATTTTGAATAGTGTTGAAGGATCTCTTGCGCTGTCTCCATCTAATTTTAAATTTATTCTTCGTTGACCCAATGTATATCCTATCAGTGTTAGGACTCTCAATGGATGAGATAGTGCATTGGTATACCACAGATTTTGTGAGGCATTTATTTTCCAACGGGCAGTCTTTAGGGTTTCTACAATCACATAATTTTTCGTTATTTTTATCTAATTTTAGTTTAGGAGCTTTATTACTGTTTTGTCATGCATGTTTTTCCAGAATTTTATTATTATGTCTTTTTATGATTATTTCTAGATTTTCAGTGTAGCTGTAACTTAATTTTAAGGTGTTTTTATTAAAGATCTCGACAAGTGGGAAAGTGTTTTTCAATTAAAACCCTTGTTTGGTACTGACCATTTGGTTGTACGGAGGGGTATACCAGATGATCTTTCTTTTCCTGTTTTTCTTATTATTGGTACTATCATTTCCATAGGTTATGTCAGCGTTTTTGTATCCGCTATTTTTCAGGGCTGTGTTATAAAAATTACTGTGTTGTCGGAATATTTCCCTATCAGCTGAGTTCATGCTAATTCTTTTCTCTATTGATGTGGGTATATGCTCTATTATAGATGGAGGGTGGTTTGACTTAGGGTGTACATACAAAAGCACGCGCAAACCACAAAATAGCTTATTCCTAAATTTTCGCTTGAGGATGAAACGGGACCCAACACATTAATTCAACTTATATATATATATATATATATATATATATATATATATGTGTGTGTGTGTGTGTGTGTGTGTGTGTGTGTGTGTGTGTGTGTGTGTGTGTGTGTGTGTGTTGTAAGCTGGAAAGGGTTACTGAATGAGAAATAACCAAAACGGAGGTTGGAAATGAAATGGTTATCTTTATAACATCAACAAAATCCAATACTCGCCAGCGCCTTGAAGTAGGTAAACCACTTCTAGCGGTGGATTATTTAGATAACATATTACCGCCTTACAATAATTTTCAACGTATTTATGAGGATTCGGACATTCGTTAGCGTTCATAGATTCGGTATATATATATATATATATATATATATATATATATATATATATATATAATAATGTATTTAGACAAGCAATCCTTCTTTCATGCACATTTGGAGAGTTTTTATATAATTTATCATCTGAAAAGAAAAAAATTATTAGATCGCATAAGAAATTGTATAAAAAACTAAATAAAAGCACCTTGTCAGTCGCGTTCAATATATATATATATATATATATATATATATATATATATATATATATATATATATAGCTCTGTAAATTTACATCGAAAATTTTACATTGTAAAAATAAAGATACACATAAGAACACCGGATTATATATCTTACTGTTCTTTCTCTTCATATATATATATATATATATATATATATATATATATATATATATATATATATATGTGTGTGTGTGTGTGTGTGTGTGTGTGTGTGTGTGTGTGTGTGTGTGTGTGTGTGTGTGTGTGTGTGTGTGTGTGTGTGTTAAAGAGAGCCAGACAACCTACCACAGTTTCACCTTAACTCTACTTATTGTATTGAGCACTTTATTTAGTTATTTTGCGTACTCATATCAGGTTTTTTTTCTTTGGACCTTGGACTCGTATGCTGAACGATTATTTTCGGCTAACGTACATGTTCTTGGTGCTTTCTTTTTTTATACCTTTTTTCCCTTTGGTGTTGGCTTTTTATTTGCAAATCAAGACACCAAAGGTTTTCCTGAGCGAGTATATATTTATATATATATATATAGATTTATATATAATAATATATATATATATATATATATATATATATATATATATATATATATATATATATATGAAAGATCTACTTAACTTTTAAATAACAATTTTATCCCTACTGCGAATTTATCGACGATTTTTTCTCGATCGATCATTTCGTGTTTGGGAAATGTATCTTAAATCATCGAATTTATAAACATAAATTTGGATTTTACAAACCAGACGCTTCATTGTGACTGATTTGTTAATAGCACCTCAAATCAAATGACGGTTCGCCATAAGGGTTACAGGTTCGATCCCTCTCGGAGAAGCGCATATTTTCTACGAAATTTCTCGAACATCCAGGCCGGAAAATGTATTTAATTTCAGGTTTCTCGGTATTGGCATCCACTGAATATAAAACACGGCATGAATTGGCCACCACCTTCACTGGAAAATATGTAACTTCTACGGAAAAGAAAGTTTAAAAAAAATTGGTATGAACATCACCCAGAACCGCTTACGAAGATCGGGCCTGTAACAATTTCATGGGACTACACAATACACACACAGACAGAAGAATCAAATCTAATCTCCCAGACATTATTATTAGAGACCGTAAACACAAAAAATGCCTCCTTATTGATATGGAAGCCCCTGCAGGCTGCAATGTATCTTTGATGATCTTCAAAAAACTATCAAAATACAAGGACCTTGGAATCGAAATCTCAAAAATGATGCACATGAGGACATCAATAATTCTATTTTTAGTCGGAGCCCTCGGATTGATTGAAAAAGATTCCAATAGACTCATTGAAGGGATTCCTGGAAGCCCATGCCTCAAAGAAATACAAAAACTTGTTCTCAGAGTACAACCCACAAAGGGCTTTATCTATGAAAGGATTATGCTAAAAATAAGCAGACATAATGTTTGTAATTTATTTAATCAGAAATGGTTAAAATATAATTTACTGCCTCAATACACACACATATATAGCTATCAAAAGACAAGGACCTTCAAATTGAAACCTCGAAAATGTGGCACATGAGAACATCAGCAATTCCAGTTGTATTTGGAGCACTCGGATAGAAAAGATTCCAATAGACTCATTGAAGGGATTCCAGGAAGCCCATGCCTTAAAAAAAATACATAAAATTGTTCTCACGATTACAGCCCACACCTTACGAAGGGCTTTATCTATGTAAAATATGTGTGCGGGTGTGTGTTTTTTTTAATTGCTCAGTGGAAAATGTCATGGCGCCATTTCTAACATTAGGTCTCTGGGCGGGACGCGGAAAGAAATGTGTACACAACAGAAATCAAAGGAAATAAAATAATAATAATATTATTATTATTATTATTATTAATATATAATAATAATAATAATAATTATTATTATTATTATTATTATTATTATTATTATTATTATTATTTTAACGTGATATTTAAAATGAAATTCCTTCTTGCCCTGGTATTCCCGCACGATCGCCCATCTAGGTACTGACCAGGCCCGACGTTGCTTAACTTTCAATGCAACATCGCCGATATAAAATTGAGATTACACGTAAACATGCTCGAGTTTATTCTTGAATCTTCAAGTATTTACTCGCAAGGCTTACGGCCATATCACGTCGAAACACCAGTTGCCGTACGATCACCGAAGTTAAGCAACGTCGAGCCTGGTCAGTGCCTAGATGGGTGACCGCTTGGATGTGCGGGTGGTGTAATGGATAACGGCTTGGAATTGAAAATCAGAGAGTTTAGTTTCAATTCCAGTTGGGAATGCCAGCGTCATACGCTGATATGCTCAAGGACAAATGATCCAATGGATAAAAGAGATGTGAGTTCAATACCTGGCTACGGCAGTGGTGAACAAAAAAATTTGGACACTTAACTTAAAAGGAGAAAGCATGACAGAGGCATGTCATGTAGAACTAGAACAATCTACCCCGTTGGACAAAATAAAGGGCTCAGTTCGAAATTCCAATCACCTGGAGAAGGCCGGAGCGTACAACGGCCAAAACGTCGCGAACATCGCAATAAAGATGAGGACAACATTTCGAACAATGTAAATAATTACAATACCTCATCTCAGATATATAGACAGGTCCTGAAGAAGACCGAAGCGTATAATGGTCGAAACGTCGTGAAGGTGGCAATAAAAATGAGGACACATTTCGAACAATGTAAATAATTACAATACCTCATCTCAGATATATAGACAGGTCCTGAAGAAGGCCGAAACGTATAATGGTCGAAACGTCGTGAAGGTGGCAATAAAAATGAGGACACATTTCGAACAATGTAAATAATTACAATACCTCATCTCAGATATATAGACAGGTCCTGAAGCGTATAATGGTCGAAACGTCGTGAAGGTGGCAATAAAAAATGAGGACACATTTCGAACAATGTAAATAATTACAATACCTCATCTCAGATATATAGACAGGTCCTGAAGAAGGCCGAAACGTATAATGGTCGAAACGTCGTGAAGGTGGCAATAAAGATGAGGACAACAGTTCGAACAATGTAAATAATGTCAATAATTACAATACCTCATCTTTGAAATATAAACAAAATATTCTTACTCTGGCTTTAAATAACCTGCAAAAACTATAAAAATCAAATTAATCAATCGGGGATGTGGCCTCTTGCAGAGTGGGGTGCAATTTTAACCGTCCCCAAGGGCTATAGACGGTATAATCTATCAGGTTTAATTTATTTGGATCAAATTATTGAAAAGTTGCACGATATGCTTTACTTAATATTTATTAAAAACATTATCCTTGGTTCGAAAAGCGTTTATTGAAATTTCAGAAAATAAACGGTTACTTATTAGAAATATTAAATTTAATCAATTAGCGTGAAATTAAAACAAAAATGCAAGCTTCAGAAATTATTTTTCATATTTTAAATTAATTTTAACCCTTAGATATCGCATTGCTGTTCATGAATTTATATCTACACAGTCTATTTCTATCTATCTATCTATCTATCTATCTATTTAAGTCTGTTAATATCTATCTATTTCAGTCTATTTCTATATCTCAGGCTATTCATATCTATCTCACATGTTCATATCTATCTATCTATCTATCTATCTATCTATCTCTCTCTCTCTCTCTCTCTCTCTATATATATATATATATATATATAATTATATGTATATATGTATATATATATATATATATATATATAATTCTGTTCAAATATATCTTATTTTTTCATATCAACCTATCTGTTCTCTTCATATCTATCTATCTATCTATCTATCTATCTATCTATCTATCTATCTATCTATCTATCTATCTATCTATCTATCTATCTCAGTCAGTTCACATCTATATATGAATTTTATTGAAATTTCAGATAAGAAACAGTTGCAATGAATATTTATATAATTCTACAATAAACAATTGTTACAGTTCTAATCTTAATTTTCAGAAAAAAATCGTAATTGTTAATAATATTAATTCCTAAATTCTTACCTTAGAAGGAATTAAGTGTTTTCATAAATAAGAATAATTTGGAAAATAAATTTTCTGTAACAGCTGATCGTTTTCTTTAACCTTTATTAAGCTTTATTTTAAAGTGTCAAAATATCCACAAAAAAGTTTTAACTGTAGAGATATTTTCCGTACAGTCTGTTTTACGTGCAGCCGTTTGTTTTATCTAAAAGTTATAAGTTAATTAATGAAATTAATAATGAAGAAATCTTTTCATAAAAATGTTTGCATTTTTTATCATGAAAAAATTTGGTTTTTAGCTTTTAGCTAATTAAACCCTTTCATAATAAAGTCTTTTATTAAATTTCGAAAAAATAAATCGGTTGTTTGTGATGAAATTATAGTTTATTTTAGAGTTTTAAAAATATACAGAAAAAGGATATTCAAAGAATTAATAAACTGAAGATATTTTTTCGCAGAAGGGAATTATCACACAAATAAGAGATATATTTATCGATGTTAATTTGAATGTCTGTTCTTGATTATGGTAATATTTAATTTTAATTTAAGAAATGTAATTGCTAATTAAATTAATTTAATTATTTTATTACAATTAATAACAACAAATGTTTATACCTGAAACTAATATAAACCCTTTAAAGGCATTTATTCTAATTAAATCTTGAAATAAATGTATTTAATTTTTCTGTTTTTTAATGCCTTATTTTAAAAGTTCAAAAACGTCACAGAAAAGGTCTTTTTAAATTTCACAGTTTTAAGTGAAGAGATATTTTCTGCGCAGTCTATGTTACGAGCAGCCGTTTGGTTTTATCTAAAAGTTATAAGCTAATTAATGAAGAAACATCTCTTAAAAATAGAAAATATATCTGCATATTTTGACAAAATATGTCTGCATGTTTTGGTTATAAAAAAAAAACTTTGTTTTTTTTGCTGAAATTGAATGAAGAATTTTTAGATTTTGAAAAAATAAATTGGTGGTTTTTGTTGGAAAAAGTTTGTTTTTAAGTTTTACATATATTTAGAAAAAAAGTAAATTTACAAAATGAATTAACTGGAGATAATTTTTAACAAAAGCGTATAATCGCACAATTAAGTAATTTACATATTTATTCTTGATTATTGAAAATATATTTGCTAATTAAATTAATTTAATTATATTTTTTTACAATAGACAACAACAAAGTTTCATACGTGAAAGTAATTTAAACTCTTTAAAGACAAATATTCTAATTAAATCTTGAAATAAAATTATTTGATTTTTGTGTTTATTTAATAATTTAATACCTTATTTTAAAAACTCAAAATTTTAAATTCGTGCATTGATAGATTAAAAATATTTTTTTTAAAGTGAGAATTATTTTATTCCATTTCTTAATTCACAGAATTATAGCATAATTCATAAAACTAATAAGTGATCACTGAGGTTAAGCAACGTTAAACCTGGATAGTATTTAGATGGCTGACCGCTTAGGAATACCAGGTGATATAATCTTGGATATGCGGGCATTATGGCTTACGGCAATTATCACGTTCAAACTTTCTCGTACGGTCACCGAAGTTAAGCAACGTCAAGCCTGGTCAGTACAAATATATATAAATATATATTTGAATTGAAAAACACTTTGGTTTTGATCTGTAATGGAATTAATCAAGAATAATGTTTTACAATTTTGAAATAAAATAAATCGATGTCTTTTTGTTGTTTTTATTAATGTTTCAAATTATTCAGATGAAAGACGATATTTACAAAATTAATTAACTGGGAATATTTTTTTAACAGAAGCAAATTATTTCATAATTACAAGAGATGTATTAATTGATGTTAATTTGAATCTTTATTCTTGGTTATGGAAATATTGAACTTTCATTTAAGAAATATAATTCTTAATAAAATTATTTCAGAATTTTTATTTTTAAAATAAACAATAAAAAAGTTCATACCTGAAAGTGAATTAAACCCTTTAACAATAAAATATAAATATTTTAATTAAATCTTGAAATAAAATTGTTTGATTTTTGTGTTTGCTTAAAGCCTTATTTCAAAAGTTCAAAATGGACAAAGAAAAGGACATTTTAAATTTCTGAGTTGATAGAACAAAAATATTTTTAAAGTGAAAATCATTTTATTCATTTTATTAATTCACAGAATTATTGCATAATTAATAAAACTAATAATGATGAAGTGATCACCGAAGTGAAGCAACATCGAGGCTGGGCAGTGTCTAGATTGGTGACCATTTGGGAATACCAGGTGATATAATGTTGGATTTTCGGGTAGTACGGCTTCCGGCAAATATCACGTTGAAACCCCGATTTTCTCATGAACACCGAAGTTAAGCAACGTCGAGCGTGGTCAGTACGTAGATGTTCTAATTAAGACAAAAAATATTTGCATTTTGGTTGAAAACCACTTTAGTTTTCAGCTGTAAGACAATTAAAATATTTGATAATCAGTAATAATATTTTATAATTTTGAAAGAAAATAAATCGATGTCTTTTGTTGAAATAATTGTTATATTAAAGTTTCAAAATACTAAGAAGGAGGTGGAGATTTACAAAATTAATTAAATGGGTATATTTTTTTAACAGAAGCGAATTATTTCATAATTACAAGAGATGTATTAATTGATGTGAATTTGAATCTCTATTCTTGATTAAAGAAATATTGAACTATCATTTAAGAAATATAATTTTTCATAAAATTAATTTAGAAATATACTTTTTTTTAAAAAATAGACAATAAAATAGGTTCATGCCTGAAAGTAATTTAAACCCTTTAATAATAAAGTATACATATTTTAATTAAATCTTGAAATAAAGGAATTTGATTTTGTGTTTATTTTAGGCCTTATTTTAAAAGTTCAAAATGTTTGCAAAAAAGGACATTTTAAATTTTTGCGTTGATAGAATAAACATATTTTTTAAGTGAGAATTATTTTATTCCTGTTCTTAATTCAAAGAATTATAGCATAATTAATAAAACTAAGAAGTGATCATCGAAGTTAAGCAACGTCTAGCCTGGTCAGTACATAGATATTTTAATTAAGACTTGGGTTGAAAACAACTTTAGTTTTCAGCTGTAAGGGATTTAAAACATTTGATAATCAGGAATAATGTTTTACAATTTTAAAAGAAAATAAATCGATGTCATTTTGTTGAAATAATAGTTTATATTAAAGTTTCGAAATATTCCGAAAGAGTTAGAGATTTACAAAATTAATTAACTGGGTATATTTTGTTAACAGAAGCGAATTATCTCATAATTACAAGAGATGTATTAATTGATGTTAATTTGAATCTCTATTCTTCATTATGGAAATATTTAAGAAATATAATTGCTAATTAAATTAATTTAATTATTTTTTTACAATAGACCACAAAGTTTCATACCTGAAAGAAATTTAAACTCTTTAAAGACAAATATTCTAATTAAATCTTGAAATAAAATTATTTGATTTTTGTGTTTATTTAATACCTTATTTTAAAAATTCAAAATTTTAAATTCGTGCGTTGAGAGATTAAAAATATTTTTTTTAAAGTGAGAATCATTTTATTCCATTTCTTAATTCACATAATTATAGCATAATTAATAAAACTAATAAGTGATCACCGAGGTTAAGCAGCGTTGAACCTGGATAGTATCTAGATGGGTGACCGGTGATATAATTAGGTCTTACGGCATATATCACGTTCAAACACTGTTTCTTGTACGATCACCAAAGTTAAGCAACGTCAAACCTGGTCAGTTCATAGATATTTTGATTAAGATTTGGGTTGAAAACCACTTTGGTTTTGATCTGTAATGGAATTAATCAGGAATAATGTTTTACAATTTTGAAAGAAAATAAATCGATGTCTTTTTGTTGTTTATATTAATGTTTCAAATTATTCAGATGAAAGAGGACATTTACAAAATTAATTAACTGGGTATATTTTTTTAACAGAAGCATATTATCTCATAATTACAAGAGATTATTAATTCTTCTATTCTTGATTATGGAAATATTGAACTTTTATTTCAGAAATATAATTCTTAAATAAAATTAACTTAGATATTTCTTTTCTTTTAAATAGACAATAACACCTGAAAATGATCTAAACCCTTTAACAATAGAGGATAAATATTTTGATTAAATCTTGAAATAAAGGTATTTTGTTTTTGTGTTTATTTTATGACTTATTTTAAAGAATTTTAAATAAATTTTCAAATGTGATTTGATAGAACAGGTGTATATCTTGGAGCAAAAATCATTTTATCTGTTTTCTGGATTCAAAGAATTAATGAACAATTTGAAATATAAATTACTTAATGTTTATTAGAAAGATTTATCTTGGCTGTAAAATTGTTTGTTTAAATTTCAGGAAAAAATAATGTCAATAAATATTAATTTATATAATTCTCTAATAAATTCCTCTTAGAATTCTTGCACGAAATGGATTTAAAATGTTTTTTTAAATAACAAATATACAAAACCTACCGTTTATTTTTTAAAATTTGAACTTTCAAATAAGAAATATAATTATTAATATAATTATTTTAGATAATTCTTTTTTTTTAATAAACAACAAATGTCCATTCCTGAAAGTGATTTAAAGTCTAACAATAAATTTTAAATATTCTAATAAAATCTTTAAATAAATATATTTGATTTCTGTTTTTATTTTATGTCTTATTTTAAAAGTCCAAAGTGATTGAATAAAGAAATATTCAAATTTCAGTTGATAAAATTGGGATATATTTTGGAGCGAAAATTATCACATCCATTTAACGAATTAACGAAGAATTTCAATTCATCTTGGCTGTAAAATTGTTTGTTTAAATTTCAGGAAAAAAACAATTCTAATTATTCAAATGAAAGAGATTTACAAAATAAATTAATTAAGTATATTTCTTAACAAAAGTGAATTATCTCACAATTATAAGAGATTATTAATTGATGTTATTTGAATCTCTATTCGTGGTTATGGAAATATTGAACTTTCATTTAAGAAATATATATTTTTTCATAAAATTGATTTAGATGTTTCTTTTTTTAAAAAAAAATCAACAATAAGGTCCATACCTGAAAATGATTTAAACTCTTTAACAATAGAGAATAAATATTCTAATTAAATATTGAAATAAATGTATTTGATTTTTGTGTTAATTTTCTGCTATGTTCTTAATGTGGAAAAAGGATTAGGAAAAAAACTTTTCAAAGTTGAGTCGATAGATCTATCTTTGTTTTCAAAGGAGTTCTTTTAAATTTCAGAAAAAAAATACAGTTCATATGATTCTATAACAAACCGATGTTAAAATTCTTTGAATGAAACTCTTCCTTAATAAAAAGAAATATATTAAAATCATCTCGGAATAAAATCGTTCCTTGTTTACATTTAAAAAAAAGCTCCATATTTCTAACTGTAGAGATATTTTAGAAGCTACTAAGTTGCTAGTAACCTTGAGTTTTATGTGAAAGTTATAATTTTTCAACTTATTAATAACGAAGACATGTTTTCATTAAGGCTAAAAAATATTTTCAAAGATTGTTAGTAGCGAGATTAGATCATTTTTTGTTAATCACCCCAAATAATGTAGTTATTTATCGCAAATATTAATTCACCCCAAGAAATTATAAATTTTAAATCATAGTTTGTTTTTGTATTAAATTTTTGTAACTCTTTCGAAATTATAAATTTTAAATCAAAATCTATTTAGCATAGCTCGCAACACCTCCGACCTTCAGAATGAAAAAAAGTTACCAAAAATCAGGGAGTTGTCTATATTTCTTAGATGAGGTATTATGTACACTCCGGCCTTCTTCAGGTGGTTGGAATGTCGACATTCCAACCACCTGAAGAAGGCTGGAGCGTAAACGGTCGAAACGTTGTAATAAATATGGCGACAAAGATGAGGACATTAGTCCAAATAATGTAAATAATCAGGGAGTTGTTCACATTTCGTAAGTACGGGTGATATTCGAGGTACTTACATGGAAATATTTACAATTTTAAAAAAAAATGAAAAAAATCTAATTTTGGTTTGTTTATTGAAGTGAGCCTGAAATCTAACCCCATATTTAAAAATAGCACTCCGAGTCGCCCACATCTGGGACGATTGTAACGGTGAACCCAACCATATAGCAATGGAAGGGCCTTTTTATTTTAGGGTGAATTAAAAAAAAACCGCGTCTACAGTATTTAATATGAAGAAAATTAAACACTTTTATAATCATGAAATAATGTTTTAGTAAAATTTCGAAAGAAAAGCGTCTGACGCCACATTTGGAAAGATTAAAATAATGTTGACTGGATATAAAATTTATTTATACAAAGTGAATTATCGCAGTTACATTAACTGATGTTTATTAGAAATTTGCAAAAAATGTTTAATGAAATTTCAGAAAAGAAACAGTTGCAATGAACATTAATTTATATAATTCTGTAATAAACAGTTACAATTAATTTTAAACATATTAAGATATCGCGATTTTTTGGACGTACCAATATCTATCAATCTCTCTATCAATTTATCAATCTATCTATCCCATTCTTGTCTGTTCCTATCTATCTATCTATCTATCTATCTATCTATCTATCTATCTATCTATCTATCTATTCTCCCTCTCTATCTCATTCAGTTCATATCTATCTCATTCTGTTTATACCAATCTATCTATTCTCTTGTTTATCTATCTATCTATCTATATATATATATATATATATATATATATATATATATATATATATATATATCCAAGTGTATGATTGGTATATACGGAATAAATTCAATCACCAACAATTACTATTCTTAAAAGAGTGCTCAATGGAGTAGAGCGAATATAATTATTTATTTAAAAATTATAACATAAATATATTATAAAATCACTACAAAAATAGCAATTTTGTTTCAACATTCTGGTGGCTTATCAAGTGATGATGTTGAATGTAGATTGTAGAATCTTCATTCAACATCATCACTTGATAAGACACCAGAGGTGTTGAAACAAAATTGCTATTTTTGTAGTGATTTTATAATATATTTATGTTATCATTTTAAATAAATAATTATATATATATATATATATATATATATATATATATATATATATATATATATTTACATTTCAGGAAAGAAACAGTTTCAATGAATATTATTTATATAATTCTATAATAAACAATTGCTACAATTCTTAAATTTTATAAATGTATTTACTTTCCGAAAAATTGTAATTGTTACTAATATTCATTAATATTTTCTTATCTTAAAATAAACTGAATCACAGATATGCAAACCGTAGAAAAAATAGATACTCTTCCTTTGGTCAGTCAAGTTGTTAACACCTTAAAAAACACCTACCGCCGTGTTAAAAAAACATTTCTGTGATGTTTTAAACTTAAAGTAATATTTGTTTCAAATCAGATTAATCCGACTTCAAATGAGATAAGATTCCTCAAGTAATGGTTCAGAAATGTATATTTTATATTTGAAACATTTTTAATAAAGACAATTATATTGCGATGACAAATGGCTAAAAATGGCGCTAAAATCAAGGATTTCAAAATAAAAACTCTTACCAATCAATTGAAATTAGTTTTGAAATTCAGAAAATGTATTTTGCTTATTGGAAATATTAAATTTAATCGATTAGAGTGAAATTAAAACAAAACAAAAGCTTCAACAAAGATATTTCATTTTAAAAAATTAATTTTTAACATTAGATATCGCGAACCTTTGGAGATGCCAATATCTATCTATCTATCTATCTATCTATCTATCTATCTATCTATTGCAGTTAGTTCATTATCTATCTATTTATCTACCTTATATACTCACGTAACATGCGACTTTTGAAGAGATAATTTGACTACAGTAAATGGATATATAGTTTGTTTAACGACGTTTGCTAGGGCCAGGAGTACATACGCTAATTTTGTATCTCGTGTATGATGCGACCCTCTAAAAATTAGTTTCAAAATTAGGTCTTCAAATCTCGCATGATACGCGAGTATCTATCTATCTATCTATCTATCTATCTATCTATCTATCTATCTATCTATCTATCTGTGTTCATTATCTATCTATCTATCTATCTATCTATCTATCTATCTATCTATCTATCTATCTATGTCTTTTCATTATCTATCTATCTATCTACCTTGTATTCTCGTGTATCAGTCGACTTTTGAAGAGATCATTTTGATGCTAATTTGACTACAGTAAATGGATATATAATTTGGTCAAAGGCATAGCCAGGGCCAGCAGTACATACGCTAATTTTAAATCACATGTATAATGCGACCCCCTTAAAATTAGCTCCAAAATTAGGTTTTCAAATGTCCCATAATACGCGAGTATAAGCGCTAAGTAATATTTGTTTTAATTTAAATGAATTAAACTTTAAATCAGTTAATCTTCCGCAAAAAAAGTTTCAGGCAAGTATTTTATGTTTTTGGAAAGTTTCTAATAAAGGGAATTAGGTTTACAGACTTTATTTGGTTGAATTAACAATTTTAAAAAATCATTCCAATCAATTTAAATTCGTTTTGAAATACGCCAAAGGATTTTGTTTATTGGGAATATTAAATTTAATCTATTAGCTTGAAATTAAAACTAAAATATAAAGCTTCAAGAAAGATTTTTATTTTCATTTATAAAATGCATGTTGAATCTTTGGTATCGCTTTTCTATTATGGGTATATTTTAAAATTTCTCAATATTTAAACACTATTTAATATGGTAAAATTTATTCATATGATTCTATAATAAACCGTTGTTAAAATGCTTGGAATGAAACACATCCTTAATAAAAAGAAATATATTAAAAGCATCTTGTAATAAAACCGTTCCTTGTTTACATTTAAACAAAGCTCCATATTTCTAACGTTAGAGATATTTTAGAAGCTAATAAGTTGCTGGTATGCTGGAGTTTTATGTGAAAGTTATAATCATTCAACTTACTAATAACGAAAATAGGTTTTCATTAAGGCATAAAAACATCAAATGATTTTATTTTCTTTCGAAACTTTTAATGTATTACCTTGAAATGAATACTAAGATATAACGCTTCAAGAAGGAAATTTTAAACATTATATATATATATATATATATATATATATATATATATATATATATATATATGTTTATATTACGTTCGTTTTTACAGATACAAATATTTAAGAAAATCCTCTGATTAACGACATTTACCGGCCTGAATGTCCGACAAATTCTCATAGAAAATATGCGTTCTCCGACAGAAATCGAACCTGTATCCTATACGGAACCGCCATACCCTGACGTGCTTTAGCGATTGAGCCACAGAGGAACGTTTCGTTAAATGTCGTTAATCCTGTTTATTATAAACAGAGCATTTACTTAAATATTTGTATCTATAAAAATAATGTATAAACATAAAATATAATTGTCGGACATCATATATATATATATATATTATGTTTATACGTTCTTTTTACAAATACAAATATTTAAGAAAATGCTCTGATTAACGACATTTACCGGCCTGAATGTCCGAGAAATTCTTATAGAAAATATGCGTTTTTCGACAGCAATCGAACCTGTATCCTATACGGAACCGCCATATCCTGACGTGCTTTTACTGATTGATATATATATATATATATATATATATATATATATATATATATATATATATATATATATTAAATTATTATTTTTTATTTTATCTTCTTTAAAAAATAGTTATAATCTAGGCTATATTTGTGTATCGTGCACTGTTTTTTTTTAAATAAAAACAAAAATACTAAAGTTTGGATCATCAGTCGAACAGTTCTTTCCTATTTTATCAATATATTCGCGTGCGGGCACACACACACAGACACACACATATATTTATATATTTATATATATATGTATGTATGTATTTTATAAAGAGTTAATCATACAAAGAATTAATCAGCTATGTTAATATAATTAATGGCGAAATCTCTTCACTAACAGACTTAATAAGGCATTAACCTATTAACAATATATTAAATGATTAATGATTATGATTAAAATTGTAAGATGGATTTGGTGTTGCTGGGTGGCTAGTAATTTTGGAAATATCACATTTTCATCCTCAGGCTGTAATTTTTCCATTTCCGGGTAAAATCCAAGATGAAAGAAATGTATTATAGACAGAACGATTTTTTTATAAAAATGTCTTATTTATTGAGGGTTATGCAATCTTGGAACGTGGGGTGTTGCAAAGCTACAATTCTAGTTTAAATATTTCAAGTGACGATTTTTTTTGTGTGTGAATTTTAGCAATGTGGTAAATCAACGAATTTTGCTGCTGTGTGTGTTTTCCAGTTAATGTGACAGGGACGAAGTTTATCGTTCAATTAATAGAATGATATGTCTTTGTAGATTTTTACTGGAATTTCGTAATGCAGATCAACTTTTTTCCATAAATGTATTATATTAGGCAGCATATATTTTATATTATAACCTGCTCTAAAGAATACACAAGATCCATCTGACAATTTTATAAATAAGGACCAGATCATTGGATTGTTAGTAAGTTAATGTTTATTTTAAGATTTTCAAGTATTCATCAAAACAAAGTCGACAACCTATATCAATTTTAAAGTGATACACACATACACAAACACACACACACACACACACACACACACACACACATATATATATATATATGTGTGTGTGTGTGTGTGTGTGTGTGTGTGTATAAACCCAAAATTCTAAAAAATGAATCAGTTTGTCTGACGATCGCTAAAGGTGAAACCCAGGGTCACAAACTCACATCTATCCAACGAAATACATGTGTATATATATATATATATATATATATATATATATATATATATATATATATATATATATAGGTAGTACAAAAAAAGCCCCGGAGCACCAAATCTATCTTATAATTTTTAAGTTAAGGATCGCGTCATGCAATGTATTATAAATAAGTTAACTTTTTCCATTTTTGTCATCTCTCTCTCTCTCTATATATATATATATATATATATATATATATATATATATATATATATATATATATATATATATGTATGTATGTATATAAACGTTATATTAGGCAGCATATATTTTATATTATAAAGAGCTAATCATAAAAAGAATCAAGTAGTAATATTAATGTAATGAATGGTGAATTCTCTTCGCTAACAGACTTAATAAAACATTAACTTACTAACAATCCACTGAATGACCTGATCCTTATTTATAAAATTGTTGTCAGATGGATTTGGGATTGTTAGTAAGTTAATGTTTATATTAATTGTTAGCGAGGAGAATTCACCATTAATTACATTAATATTGCTAATTGATTTTTTGTATGATTATCTCTTTATAACATAAAATATATGCTGCTTAATATAATACGTTTATATACATACATATATATATATAGAGAGAGAGAGAGAGAGTGAGAGAGAGAGAGAGAAAGAGAGAGAGAGAGTGATCTTGTATGACAAAGTGAAAAAAGTGGTCCAATTAACAGAGTAATATGTTTTAGTATTTTTCCAGAATTTCGTTCTGTGCATCAGTTCTTTCATAAATATATTATATTGTACAGTATATATATATATATATATATATCATAAATATATTATATTGTATATATATATATATATATATATATATATATATATATTCAGTCAGTCAGTTGTGTGCCATGTGTGATACACGCTTAGGCGATCAGGTATCTATCGATACATGACTGACGAGGCAGATTTTTTTCCAGCAGTAGTTTGCCATTTCTTTCTGCGGCAAACAAAGGCTATAGAACCCGGTCTGTCCTGCTATTAACCCATAGCTGGGGAAGAAGAAAAGGTATTAGCACGTAAATAAATGTCATGGATTTGACTGGAATTCGAACTCGGCTCTCCGATTCCTCAATCCTGAGTCTATATATATATATATATATATATATATATATATATATATATATATATATATATATATATATATAGCGAAGGGATTTCGCCATGAATTCCATTAACACTGCTGATTAATTTTTGTATGATTACTACTTTAATATATATATATATATATATATATATATATATATATATATATATATAAACATCGTGGATTTCTTTAGGTATTTTATATACCTTGTATGGGATACGAAAAAGTTTGATTGACATTCTGGTATGAAAATGAGAGGCTTTATGCAAAATTGTTTTTAGATCTTTAAAACATACCGTGATTATATAGGTGTATAACTATCTATCTATCTATGTTTATATCTATCTGTGTATCTATCTAAATAATACACCATACATGTATATACATTATGTATAGAAGAAGAAAATAAAATTAATTATCTACTACAAATTTTTTTACCTTTATTTTTCTAACACTGTCAGCATATTGTGGCCGTGTTTATTGTTAATGTTATTGAGTGTTGTTTTTCCTTTTTTATTAGAAGGGCTTCCATTATTTTTAATTATTTCGTTTTTACATGTGGATGAGGTTATTAAACTTTTATTTTTATTTTGAGTGTGGCCTTTGGTAGGTTTCCAGTGTTCTTAAATGAGTCCTATTTGAGTTATGGTCGAGTAGATGTAACGTGAGTCCTCGAGATTGGCATGCCGTGGTATGACCAATATAATTATTTATGAATTAGGTTTGATCAGGAACTCAGTTCCTTAATGGGTATTTGAACTCGAAAATAAAATTTGAATTAAAATTTCCTTGAATTTTACAACTATTTATGAGACTGGGATTTTTCCCACTGTGTCCTAATATATCTATCTATCTATATCTATCTATCTATCTATCTATCTATCTATATATATATATATATATATATATATATATATATATATATATATATAATTCTTATGTAGCGTGTTGGAATCATATTTTTAAATAAATAATTATATTTATGCTCTACTTTTGTATCGAGCACTATTTTCTAAAATTAATGGCAAAAATACTAAAGAACTTTGGATTATTTACCTAACGAGTTCTCTCCTGTTTTTATATATTTTTCACACACACACACACACACATATATATATATATATATATATATATATGTGTGTGTGTGTGTGTGTGTGTGTGTGTTGAACAAAAAAATATTAAAATTTCAGACACTCGGCCTTGCTAGTCCAAAGGAGAGGATAAACTAATACCAATTTGGTTTTGTCGGAAGGTAGCAAAAAGAGCCGTCCATCCGCATTAGGGACTCAACTCCGGGTTTGAATTCAGAGTTGTTCTTTTCTTAGACCAGTTGCCATCCAAGGATATAGAACCCAGTCTGTCCTGCTATTTACCCATAGCTGAAGGGAGAAGAAGAAGATTCACACCTTTCCCAAGGATATTACGTAAGTGATTCACTGGAATTCGAATCTCCGATTCCTCAATCCAAGCCGTGCCTCCTCATATATATATATATATATATATATATATATATATATATATATATATATATATATATATATATATATATATGGTGTATATGCAATAAATTCCAATAACCACAAAATACTATTCTTAAAGAGTGCTCAATACAGAGTAGAGCAAATATGTTATGAGATCACTACAAAAATACCCATTTTGTTTCAACACTTCTGGTGTCTTATCAAGTGATGGTGTACAATGTAGAATAAAGCGTTTTAAAAGGTTGAAATCAATCAAACACCTCTCGCTAGGGTAAATGCTGTTACATAAGCTGCAATGACCAATATATGCAAAAAGTAAATCTATTTAAACTCGGTAGGTGAAAAAGCATGAATATCACAATTTTTAAATAAATGGAAATGAAATAAAAAATGGAAAAAAAATGAAGGCACCAGAAACCTCTGAAGAGGGCGAAAGAAATAGACCAGTACCTCAAATCTCTGGTACAAAGACAAAAACCCAGCGTGTTAAAAATAAGTTAAAACGAAGAGTGTTCAATAAGCTAAATAGAGCAAATGTAAAATAAATAACTAACAGGCTCTTTTAGGATTTACTTATTATAATATATATATATATATATATATATATATATATATATATATATATATATATTCAAACATGTTTCATTGAATAATGTAGACATATCTTTTTATCCTGATCCTTTCCAGTTGTCTAATCAGTTTCTTGATGTTAATATGATTTTTTTTAAATCATCATCACAGCGAAATGCAGATCTTATTGCAATTACAATAAATTTGTATTTTTCATTTACCAATGAAGATGATCTTGGTAAAGATCGAAAGTACTTGGGCTAAAAAAAAAACTACGGCGCCTTCCTTGATGAATTTTATCTTAAAATCAAGAAACTGATTAGACAACTGGAAGGGATTAATAGAAAAATGAGTAGACATTTTATATATATATATATATATATATATATATATATATATATATATATATATATATATATTATCATCTGCAGACAGACTGACATTAGCGGTCGGTTGAGAGGAAGGCAAATTTTACGTACTTACATTCTTTGAATAAACACGCCAATGACCGATATATATATATATATATATATATATATATATAATTACGCACTCACACCCATACATACATATATTCAACATCTGTTTATATTTCTGAGATGAGGTATTGTAAGTATTTATAATATTTAACGTTAGGACTGTTGCCCTCATTTTTACTGTCATATTCACAACGTTCCGGCCGTTGTACGGTACTGCCTTCTTCAGAATCTGTCTATATTTCTGAAATGAGGTATTGTAACTATTTAGACTATTTCAATCTTAGGATTGTTGTCCGCATTTTTGTTATCATATTCACAACCCAATGGATAAAAGCCTTGTTTTTTTTTTCACACAAAAAGTGACTTGACCCAAAGATTTGCTAGTTCAATCCCTACCCAGAGCCAAGGGAACACAATCTTGGAGAGTTCAATTATCAAGGGGAACTAACCAAAAACGGATATATCCAGAAAAGACATAGCACGTTGAATTAGAACAATCAGCACCTCTCCAGTGGACTAAATAAAGGGTTCGGTTCAAAATCCCAAATATTAACACCTGAAGAAGGTCGGAGCGTACGATAGCTGAAACGTCGTGAATCTGACTGTAAAATTAGGTCAATAGTCCGAACAATTTGATTAGTTTAAATCAGTGGTTCCACCCCGATTTTGCCTGATGCACCCTTTTCAACATAAGTCAGGATGATATTCCCCCACCCTTTTCCGAGTTTGTTCAACTCAAAAGGTGCATTCCAAATAATCTGCCTATATTACTGAAGTTATTAGTATGTCTACAAAACCCAGCGAGACTTCTCAGTTGCGCGGATCGAGGCACATTTTCGGTTGTGCCGGCTTGAAATTTTACATCTTGTGTCTTCCAATTTGTGGCACCAATTACACCGCTGAAGCCATTAAATTCTCTTCCCCTAGGCGGAATTCCCTGTTGTTTAAGAACAACTGCCCTAGATTAAATTTCTTACAGCTGAGCCATATACCAAGGTATTTGAATACGCATGAACGAAAGGCGACGCTGAAATTCTAAATATAATTTTGTTTTAAATTTGAGTTTGGGTCTAGCCAATTTAATTTTTTTTTTCTACATCTTTAGAGCATTTTATAATGATTCTTAAGAATTTATGGTAACTAGACTCTATGAATTTAAGCGCAATACTAGATTGGCGAGAAGCTCTCATCATTTTACAGTTGCGATGGCTAAATGTAACCGTAGATTCTATGCAGATAGTTTCTTCTTTCGGACTTCTCGCTTGTGGAGCTCTTTCCAGCGACTTGCTTTCCAGATAAGTTTGATCTTTAAGATATTAAATGCAATGTCAATCGTTATCTTCTGTCTTCTTAATTCCTCTTCTTTTATTGTCCTTTCCCCTCACTAAAGTCTTCTAATTCTCTTTTGCTTTCCAGTCAACTTTGATCTTCAAAAATTTCAATGCAATGTCAATCGTTATCTTCTGTCTTCTTAATTCCTCTTCTTTTTATTGTCCTTTTCCCCTCACTAAAGTCTTCTAATTCTCTTTTACTTTCCAGTCAACTTTGATCTTCAAAAATTTCAATGCAATGTCAATCGTTATCTTCTGTCTTCTTAATTCCTCTTCTTTTTATTGTCCTTTCCCTCACTAAAGTCTTCTAATTCTCTTTCACTCTTCTTACTTTCCAGTCAACTTTGATCTTCAAAATTTTAATGCAATGTCAATCGTTATCTTCTGTCTTCTTAATTCCTCTTCTTTTATTGTCCTTTCCCCTCACTAAAGTCTTCTAATTCTCTTTCACTCTTCTTACTTTCTAGTCAACTTTGATCTTCAAAATTTCAATGCAATGTCAATCGTTATCTTCTGTCTTCTTAATTCCTCTTCTTTTATTGTCCTTTCATCTCACTAAAGTCTTCTAATTCTCTTTCACTCTTCTTACTTTCCAGTCAACTTTGATATTCAAAAATTTCAATCCAATGTCAATCGTTATCTTCTGTCTTCTTAATTCCTCTTCTTTTATTGTCCTTTCCCCTCACTAAAGTCTTCTAATTCTCTTTTACTTTCCAGTCAACTTTGATCTTCAAAAATTTCAATGCAATGTCAATCGTTATCTTCTGTCTTCTTAATTCCTCTTCTTTTATTGTCCTTTCCCCTCACTAAAGTCTTCTAATTCTCTTTCACTCTTCTTACTTTCCAGTCAACTTTGATCTTCAAAAATTTTAATGCAATGTCAATCGTTATCTTCTGTCTTCTTAATTCCTCTTCTTTTATTGTCCTTTCCCCTCACTAAAGTCTTCTAATTCTCTTTCACTCTTCTTACTTTCCAGTCAACTTTGATATTCAAAAATTTTAATGCAATGTCAATCGTTATCTTCTGTCTTCTTAATTCCTCTTTTTATTGTCCTTTCCCCTCACTAAAGTCTTCTAATTCTCTTTCACTCTTCTTACTTTCCAGTCAACTTTGATATTCAAAATTTCAATGCAATGTCAATCGTTATCTTCTGTCTTCTTAATTCCTCTTCTTTTATTGTCCTTTCATCTCACTAAAGTCTTCTAATTCTCTTTCACTCTTCTTACTTTCAGTCAACTTTGATCTTCAAAATTTCAATGCAATGTCAATCGTTATCTTCTGTCTTCTTAATTCCTCTTCTTTTATTGTCCTTTCCCCTCACTAAAGTCTTCTAATTCTCTTTTACTTTCCAGTCAACTTTGATCTTCAAAAATTTCAATGCAATGTCAATCGTTATCTTCTGTCTTCTTAATTCCTCTTCTTTTATTGTCCTTTCCCCTCACTAAAGTCTTCTAATTCTCTTTCACTCTTCTTACTTTCCAGTCAACTTTGATCTTCAA